TCGGCGGGGCCAGCGGGAGCCACCAGTGCCAGCCAGTCTCCGGAGGCAGGAGGGAAGAGGCAGACAGCAGGTAAGGCATTTCAGCTAAGTCCTAGAGATGATCCCCAGGGTACCTGTGGTCCGAGGTCAGCCACTCGCTTAATGACCTTGAGCAGATTTTTCTCTCTCCCTGCTGCCTTTTAGGTTTCCTAATGTGTGAGCTGGGCAAAGTGCGATGTAGTAGACTAGGAGGATGGTTGACTTTGGGCAGTCACACCACCTTTCCATGCCACTTTTCTTTGGTGACTGTGAACTGGTTTCCTTAAACCTCCACGGACCCTGCGAGAATCCAGGCATGGGCAGGTCTGTGCTCCAGGCTGGAGGGCAGTGTGACAACATGGTCTCATGGAAGTTCATGGTTCTTGGGGAATGAATGTCTGGGCCTCCTTTTAGTCAGATGCTGTCATGTGTGCTATGGAGAGAAACAAATCCTGAAGGTAATTCTGCTTGTGGCATCCCTTATCCCCTTACAAACTCCTCGTGTCCTTCACGTGCTCATTAAACTTGAGCCAAGGCATGCTCTGAATCACTGTGCCAGGAAATCTGCTCCCTTTAAATGCAGCGTTGTTACTCTCTGCTTCTTTTAGTTTGCCATTTTCCTCTCTCTGTTTCCCTCTCCTTTCCGTGCTCTTGTTGCCTTGCCTTTCCCTCCCTGCAAAAAAGTCCTAGGCCCCACCACGGTGGCATTTTGTGTTCCTGCCATTCCTTTCCCACTCCAGTGAGTGGCAATAGAATGGCTGATGAAAGCAGGTTTTTGCCCAGCCCCATTGTATGGTCAGCAGGATAAGGCTCTTGTAAGGTTAATGGGTGGGAGGAGAGTGAGCTTTTGGAGTGCTGGTTTCAAGCTGTCAGATGCTATAGAGAGCTATGGGCTCAGGCAGAGTGACTAGTGGCTACTTGGCACATGGCTACTTGCCATGTAATTTGGAGAAAGGCTTAGGTTCTCTGCATGCCGCCTGCTCCACAAAGGCAGCAGGCCGATTGACTCATTCGTGCCCCCAGTCGGCCTGGTATATAGACTTAAAACCTGTCTTCCAACACTCTCCTCTGGTGCCTGTCTCTACAGAGAGAGCCCAGTCGTGGAAGCAGAGGCCCACAGATGTCAAGGACTTGTGGGAGTGGGTCTGTCTTAGGTTTTTGTGTTTGTCTGTTGCACTGCTGTTTATGTTTCTTGCTTCCTCTTTCCTTCACTCTCTTCTCATGGGAGAGGGAGCGCCTTTGTCTTGAGCTTGAGCTGCAGGTGGTAAATTATTTGGGGCTTTGGGATGCCAGGCCGAGCGGGAATGTGTGGGACTTTTAGCTCTATGGTGTCTTGCTGTGGTTCCTGTCTAACAGAAGACTTTCCTGTTTTCCAAGCCCACATTCTCAGTATGCTCTTTTCCTACCTATAAGGTTTTTATTGCACAGCTTGCAGGAGCCAAGCATCCTGTGGTCCCGTACGAAATTTTAGCTTCCCATGCATCCAGGTCACAGATGTTCAGCTTCCTCTCAGGCTCTGCAGTCTACCCCCATGCACATAACACCTCAGGCCCTTGTACCTCTTCTGTTGACAGCCCCGTTCTCTGTGTAGGCAGAATCCCTTTGTAATCCTCATGGCCCTGCTCCCCAGCACCAGAAACCTGCCCCGCTTCACACCTGGCTCTTCACACAGCCCGTACTCTGGGTGGTTATCATCAGATTTATCATTGCAGTTATGGGGAAGGGGGAAGACTGGCATTGCAGCCCTTCAGTCAGGGCTGGCTTGAGAAGGTCTCAGCCTCTCACAGACCCCAGCAACCAGGCACCTGACAGAAAGGTAATCTCTCTTGTTAGCATTTTCCTATTCAGGCAGCCTGAATGACTTTGCATCTTGGCAGCTTTTGTCTGGACTAGTAGCCCAGATTGTTTAGGAAGTTTTTCCTTTAGATCTTTATCTCAACTTTGCCCTCAGCTGAGACTCCCTTAAGACACGTACCAGACAAATGAGAAGGGGCTTGGACACCTTCCTCTGCACTCTTGAATTTTGTCCCCCATGTCCCTCGTACAGGATTACTGGCTCTTACCTGTCCCCCACATTCACCTTTCCTCTCTGCCTCCCCACTTCCATGTCAAATTTCTTTCCTTCATTCTTCTCTTGCCAGAAGCCCCCCTCAGCCAAATAGGTCCCTCTGTCTACACACGTGTTTCCAGCAGTGGGATGGTCTGTGGTGGGAGCCACAAGCAGACAGGGTTGAGTCAATACCCAAGGCCTCACTGATGCTCTCACCTGCCACCCCACTGTTGTAAGCACCGACTGCTCTGCCCCACCATACACCCTGGCTGGAGGTCGCTTTGCCACTGTCTACCACATGCCTTGAGATTACTGGGCAGGCAGTTTCAGGGAGCCCAGTTACCAACCCAAAGCTATGCTTGCAGTCATGACCAGGCCTCTTTACACTACACTGAGACTGAAATATTACTAGGGCCTTTTGGAGGAGGATAGTAACACTGTGAGCCAATGTGCGCCATTCTCCCCTCCCTGCCCTGACTTTTCCACCTGGCAAAAGGGAGCCACTGCATCCCAGAGGGTTGAGCTGGCAAGCTGCTCGCTGTCAGTGGGCTTGTCCTTTGCCTCAAGAAAGCCCCTGTCTGGTAGGGAAGGAGCTCTACAGCAGGCAGGGAGCATGCTCATAACCATACAGCTGTGCATTATGTCTTGTATACATTTTCCCACTGTCTTTTTATTTCTAGAATTATCCCCAGCTTCGTCCAGTTCTGGGAATTTCAGTCAATTCACACCAGATTCAGCCACCAGTCCACATTCAGCATCCTCATCCCCACAACCTACGTCTAAGTCTCAGACGGGCAGAGAAGATGGCGTGGAGGGGGTGAAGAAGGCCAAGAGCCGCACAGCCTTCTCCAAGGAGCAGCTGCAAACCCTGCACCAGCGGTTCCAGAGCCAGAAGTACCTCAGCCCCCAGCAGATCCGGGAGCTGGCTGCTGCTCTGGGGCTCACCTACAAGCAGGTGAACATGGAGACTTTGACCCATGGTATATCTGTCACACAGCAGCTGAATGGTCAAATAAGCCAGTGGGATGGAAAGATAAGTCCCTAGCAGAGAGTAGAGGCAAAGGTGCCAGCTAACAGTTGCTCTCCTGCCTTTTCATGCCCAGAGATCTGAAGCACTCCTGGGGGACAGGAGAGTCAGTGGCATCTGATTTGGGCCTCCACAGTGAGGGGTCAGTTAAGGGTACTGTTGCCAACAATTGTAGTAGAATTGCAAACACAGTAATGAATATGTTGTTTGCCACAAACAGCCTCTACCCTGGGCTTGACAGCACTTCACAGACTTTTTCCATGCACTGGTGGACTTCACAGAAACCCTGGTATGCATCAGTTCCCTGAATCCCAGGGCTGCAACCTGCTGAAAGCTGTTGCTAACATTTCCCAGGGCTGATCTTGTCCAATATCTAGTAATGTCCCACACTCAGCACTGCCTGGCTGCTTGACACCTGCTTCCCCCTCCATGTGGTTACTGCTAGGTTCATACATTGCAGCCCTTCAGGGTCTCTGCAGATCTCCAGGTAGATTTTGTGTAGTGAACTGGTGCTGACTCAAATGATGCCTTCCTAAAGCAGAGGGGGCTGGGCAATGGGGCACAAGTGCTTGCAGTTAAGTCCAAAATCTGCCTGGAATTTGGATCTCAGAGCTGGGCGTGATGGCCTGGGTGCCCCAGGACGTCCTGGGACTAAAAAAGTTATGTATGCATTGTCGGTGCACACATACACACGCACACACTGAACTGGTTCTGTCAGGAACAAGACGGGTGAGACAATTTGCTCTTTCCTTCAATCCACATCCCTGCAAAGGCTGCTCTCACAGCGCAGACACAGCCCTGGGGGGAAAAGGCTCTGGAATTCACCCCAGCAAGGAGCTTTGAATTTGGGAACTGCTGGGTACAAGAAGCAAGCCTCTCCCTTCTCCGCTCACAAACATGCAGAAACAGCGTCTGCAAAGTTTACCTGTAGCACAGGGGGCTTGTAGAGACCTGGGTGGTCTAATATGCGTCAGTGATTCATCTCCATGATTGAAATGAGGCAATTTGTCACAGCTATAACCATCCCGTGGACATAATGCGGCTCCCTCCCCCCGCCATGCAGATGCACTAGCCACCTGCTGAGGCTGCTAGACAGACATCTCCCCTTGGCAACAACCCCAGGGAGCTCTTAAAGGGCTTTATCTGCTGCTGCCCATATATCTATGCCATCTGGTCACTCTTTGCTGCTTGTGCATCTGATAACATTTGCTCTTCCCTCTCCTTTGCTGATGTTTTCTCTGCTCTCCCTTCCCCACCCAGGTGAAGACTTGGTTCCAGAACCGGAGGATGAAGCTGAAAAGGTGCCAGAAGCATAGCCTGTGGACTGAACGGGCTCAGTGCCTCACGCAAGTAAGAACATAGCACATGGTCCAGCATGGCCCTTCTGTCTGGGCAGATAAGTCCTGTGATGTATTTCCTCCACAGGGAGCAATGTAAGCATACAACTATCTGTGTACCCTGCCTTCTGCTTTGTTCAGCACAGAGGCACAGACTTGGCACGACTCTCCATGTTCTGTAGGTAGCCTAGCAATGGGCTGACTATGCCACTGAAATGCTTCCAGAGAAAAGCTGTTTTCCTCACATATATATATATATATATATATAGGTATGACTGTGTATCCACCCCTGAGCTATGGGGATGGATATGATTCTTCTTGCCCTCCCATGCCATTGCTGCTGATCAAGAGACAACATGAAATGTGAAGGGACAGAGCCCCAGTACGTGTCAGACCTGTGGGCACCAGTGGAGAAGCTATGTGTTCTGACTCACTGTCTTTCCCTTTCAGAGCGGCTTCCAGCCAAGTACTTACCTGGACGTACACCCCAAATTCCACCAGGGCTACCCGATCACCGCAGCCAGCAACATCCAGCCCTTGCCTCCCCCCCGTCAGCACTACGGAGCAGGGCAGAATGCTTACACAATCATGACCAGCGAGGATGGAGGAGTCTTTGGAAAAGGCGGGGGCACCTGCAGCGTCCAGCAGACAGTGGGCTTCATTGCCCAGCACAAAGTAGACTTTTACCACAGCTGTCCTGGCAGTGTGGAATATCCGGGCACAAAGACAGGTGATGACTGTAACTTTCACCACTTGGCCACCATGGGGGCTCCTTTCCCAACCACTGCTGGCCACCATCTCTATCATTCCTAAGCACTGTGGATGTGGGGTACTTGGGCACCTGGGAATGAAATCTTACTCTCATCTCTCCCTTTGTTATTCATGTGCCCTCCAACTCAGGGGCATCATGTAGCTAGAACCTGTTTTGGCATCCAAATATGCGCCTGCAAGCATGCACAGACACACAGACATGCAGATGCCTGTTTGCCCATATACGTACATACAGCCCTTCATTCGTATGTCCTTACACCTGCACACAACTGTTGGCACAGACAACTAAGTTCCTTTATAGCAAGACCCAAGATCTGGCTACCTAGATTATCCCCTGGATCTTCTAAATGATTGTAACTTGTCTCAGATGAGGCACAGATTCCTGTGGGGATCTCATTTATACATATTGCTGTACAGTTGTGTGTACATAACACATGAAACCATGGACTATATGGAGAGGTGCTGGTCACATACATACCTTTCATTGAATTTGCAGAAGTTATTGTCACACGCCAGGCATCCATCTGATGGTTAGACCACCAGTTCTGTGGGTCAGCCACGAAGTATAGAACTGATGAAGTGTCTAGTGAAGGGAGATGTGACAAGTAGCTTGCAGAAAGGCTGGTAAGATGATCTTACAAGTATCAAAATGATAAATAAGCCCTTTGTTCTAATCTGTATCTTTCTGTGCCTCCCCACAAGAAAACCAAACAGTGCATTCAATTTGGCAAATAATAAAATATTTTTTAAGGTGGATTATGTATTTTTCTGTATCTTTTTTTCCACTGTAAGAGAGCATTGCAATATGAAATCCAGATGGAGCATAAGTAGCCATAGCAACCGTATGTCATTGTTATTACTGATTTGACTCTGAAACTATAAACAGAGATTTTTCTGTGTTATTATTGGATCAGCTTCATGACTCTTGGCAATGCCAGATATCCAGAGTCAAAGGACGAGGTGAGTAACTACCACCCACCTTAAGAAATTTCCCCTACCCAGCAATGTTTAATACTGGGACTGGCTAAAACATAGAGGTACCATAATTTCTAAACTTAATACTATGTAAGAGTTTAAGTACCTAAAACCAGATGTGTGTATCAAAATATATTTAATAACAAAGCCTCAGTTCCCTGAGTCACAGGTTTTCTATCCCTCTCTGATGACGACAATGACTTTATCTTAATGAAGTTGCTGTCATGGTTAAAAAAAATGAGCATAAAATGAAGGCAATTGATGCCTGCAACTCGCGTGGTCTTTTATTGGCAAAGCTGGTTTATGTTCCTGTGCCTCACAGCTGTTTGTTCCCATCCCCACTCCCTCATGCAGTCACTCTTTGACCCTTTGGTTGTTCAGCTACACTGTTTATAGAGCTGTACTGTAAACAGCATGACCAGCATGATTTGGGGAAAAAATAAGGCCTTCTGGAGGGCAAACTTCTAAGTCATATCATTTTGGAGATCCATTTTAAAGCACAGTCCAAACACACGTCTTTCTTACACCCAACAAGTGCCTAAGCTTGGGAACTGATATGTTCTTGCAACCACTGCACCTTCAGAGGGGTGGGGATCGATTGGGTTAACTTAACTGAAAGGTGCTAGTTAACATCTGAAGGTGGACTACAACAGCAGCAATTATCAGGGCTCTCACATGAGTGGAAGGAGTTTTTTCAGCTCCTTTGGAGCCAACAGTGCTGCTACTGACCTAAATATCATCTGGAACCTTTCCATGCCACCCCATCAAAGGCTGCTGTAGGTGAAAAAGTCGAGCTTGTGACTGCTCCTCACTAATAATTCTCTGGAAAAGGAGTCACCTGTTACGCCCTGTTCCTTCAGGGATGCTTTAAGACAGGCAGGATCTTGGTGTGAAGTCTCTGGGACTGACTTGCAGAAGGATGCTGGCCATAAGAGCAACAGTTATGATCTCCCTGCGATTGACCTTCAGCAAAGCTGTGCTAACAAACACTACCAAATCTTGCAGTTTCCTCAAGAGACCCATAAATTTTTCATCATTCAAAGACAGAGTTTATTGCCACAGGTGGTTCTGGAGACCAAAAGCCTGCAGCAATTCAAACACACAAGTAAGCAACTTCGAGGAAGGGAGCACATTGATGCCTGCTGTATCAGGAGCTGCATTCCCGATGCTCTGTGGAGTTACAGCAGGAAAGCAGATCCTACTACACGCAGCAC